CCCCCCCCCCCCCCCCCCCCCCCCCGCTTATTCAGCGGCTGGCTGATTCGTTGCGAAATTTTCGGACCGATTTATAAATGTTAAAACCCCCCCTTGAAAAAAATCCTGCGTACGCGCCTGCTTGAAGTATAAACAAAACATTTATGTTTTTTTAATGGTAATTACCTCTTTGAAAAACGATTAATCTCTGGAATTTTATACCATCGGCTTCCGGATACGCAGTGTAGCTAATTCCTGCCGTTTCCTTATTTGGTGAACTACTATTAAACGAAGCCATATAAGCTGGCAATTATCTATATAGTCATCTCACTAGACTCACTTCAATCTTTACTCAAACTTCCGCTTATTTTAGACCACTCAACTCTAGATCTACACGACGCGTTGTGTGTGATTGTAGCCTTACGGACTGAAGTTAGAGTATACAAAATCAATGCTAACAATTTGCAACAAAGATATATAGATATTTTAAATACATTATACATTAATAAAAATACCTTTTTATTGAATTAAAATATGTTTTCCTTCATTAAATATTTATGATTATTTAAAATAAAAAATAAACCAAAAACGAATAATTAAAATGACTATATTTTAATAATTTTGTTAAGGATTAAATTGGCAATGTAATGCAAACGTGACTCCTACACTTCGATCTAATATGCGGAACCAACATCTACAGGTTGTTTTTCTCATTGTTGCACCTACTTCCGTGTGTGTTATCAGATCGTCAGTAAGAATCATTTCCTACTTCTGAAATGATCGCAAAGTGAAAGGAAAACTGATGTTTCACCTCCTTTGGTTTTTATCAGGATTTATTCAGCTCACAATCGTGGACGAGAGAAGTCTTATCATCACCATAGCAGGTAATTATATCGTTGCTTTGCTTGATTTCGAATGTACCTCCGGTCTTTGCATTTTCAATTTCAGGCAAAGAAAATGTCCATGCCTTGAATTGATCCTTGGACCATGGCCAGGCTTTACAAGCAGCCTACGCCCAGCGCAGGCCGCTCTATGTAGCACCGTACGTTGCACTGCGAGCTGCAGATGCCCCGCCATGAACTTAATTCGGCCACGGAATTGAAGGATCTATTCTAGAATTCTAGATCTGGAGCTGGTTTAGTTATGACCAGGCCAGGAAACATATAAATTTCGAAGTTTCTATTGTCTGTTTAATTTAAGAAGTGAGTTCTATCAAGCTCTTGTAATATTTGTATGCATAGATCTAGATTCTAGATCATCGAGATAAAAGTTGAAACAAAGTCAAACTTCAGTCTTGAGAAGTTGCGTACTTGACACATGCACAGTTACAGGAATCAGGAGAGAAGGAGATTCATGTTTGAGACCATTTTCTTCGCTCATTTTTTTTTTTTTTTTAGTGAATACAGACTAGGCTACAGTCTGTACAAATTCTAGATCAATGTGTGACAGAAAGTGTTTCAGAGCATTTTATTTTAATTGGCCATGTTGCATGTTGATGTTAGGTGCTCACAATTCTTCTTTTTCTTCCTTTTCTTCTTCTTTTATTTTTCTTCTTTTCTTCTTCTTCTTCTTCTTCTTCTTCTTCTTCTTCTCTTCTTCTTCTTCTTCTTCTTCTTCTTCTTCTTCTTCTTTTCTTCTTCTTCTTCTTCTTCTTTTTCTTCCTTTTCTTTTTCTTCCCGTACTTCTTTTTTATATTTCTTCTAGTTCTACTTCTTCCTCTTCTCCTTCTCCCATTTCCTCTTCCTTTTCTTCATCTTCCTTTTCTTCATCTTCTTCTTGTTCTTTTTTCCCTCTTCTCCTTCTCCTTCTTCTTCTTCTTCATCTTCATCATCATCACATCAGCTCCCTTTATTCTGTTGGCCTACCTTGGCTATCCAGAAATGCATGTAGACCCTGCCCCACAGTTTACATACATGTACAACCTGTACATGTACATGTACATGTACAGTACATGTATTTCCATTTAAGAGAAGGTTGAGTTCTGGGAAGAGGTGAAAAATAAATTGTGAGCATTACTCATTCTTAAATGCAAGTGTGGAAGAACATCAGTTAAGACATGTTCCCTGAAAAGCATGGCTCTTCAAATGCCTTCATATTCTAAATATGCATGTAACATCGTAAAAATCGGGGGGGGGGGGCGGCTTTTTACGCCACGTGTTCGTGTAGTCCATATACATCTTTCTGTGCAAGTGTTTGTAACTTTACCAAGACTTGGTCACATTTCTTATCATTTGATGATTCCAGAACTTGCAATACACACAAACTCTTACATGCTAGATGATCAACCTTTTCTGGTCAGTTCCACACCGTTTCTTTCACAATGCAATCGCATGACCAGAACTCAACTTCATCTTTAACTCTTCAGTTGCTTTCTTTGCCTCTATGCACAGTCATTCCTTTGCCACACTTGCAACTGTGCACACAACAGAAGGCACCAAATGACGAAAGGGTTGCTACATGTTTACATGTACATGTACAGTACCGTATTCAGTAATGCATCACAGTGGCTCATGTCCAGTCTTGAGACTCTTGGTATTTTGTAAGCTCCATGACAACCCATAACGCTGGTATCTTGCACAAGAAACAGTAAAACGATCGTAAAGGCAGCCTTTGATATGTCCATCCCATGATAAATGCATCGTGGCACAGTAGGCCCGTCTTCACTATCTCAAGATTGCCAAATATCCAGCTATTTGAACTATCCCGATCGCAAACTATCCAGCTATTTGCGTCTTCATTAGACCGAAGTAGCAAATTAGCTGGATAGTTGGTCGGGATAATATCCCAAGATATCTCGGTCTAGTTTGCAAAATATCCCACTATTTCCGAACTAGCGGGATAGTTTGCGACTGTCTTCATTAGACCGAAGTCGGAGTCAAATATCCCGATCCCATCATGCACAACGATTTCCGGTTCGCACATGCGATCTACATGTATACCGCTCAGCGAGCTAGTACTGTACAACCACTGACCTCGAGTAAGCACGGAAAACCGCAAACTAGACTGAGATATCTTGGGATATTATCCCGACCAACTATCCAGCTAATTTGCTACTTCGGTCTAATGAAAACGCAAATTAGCTGGATAGTTTGCGATCGGGATAGTTCAAATACATGTAGCTGGATATTTGGCAATCTCGAGATAGTGCAGACACGCCTAGTGAGATTATACACTGTAATGTGTCTCATAAAAACTTTATTACCCTTCATCTAATTCTTCTAAAGTGTTCACTAGGCCTGTCTTCACTATGTCGAGATTGCCAAATATCCAGCTATTTGAACTATCCCGATCGCAAACTATCCAGCTAATTTGCGTCTTCATCAGACCGAAGTAGCAATTAGAAGGATATTTGGTCAGGATTGTCATCCCAAGATATCTTGGGATAGTTTGCAAAATATCCAGCTATTTGTCCCGTGCGTCTTCACTAGACCGAAGATTCGCAATACGCGCTAACGCTGAGCAAAATATCTTGTGATAATTTCTCAAGGTCTAGTTTTAAGTTTCGAGGTCGAATCTCGAGATAGTGAAGACGCGATTTGTTACTTCGTGATTATTTCCCAAATCAGAAATAGCGGGCTATTTGGCAATCTCGAGATGATGAAGACGCGCCTACTGGGTCTATTGGTGCCTAAATTGTTTTGTGCAAAATCGCTTGTTTGTCATGTACAAAAATATCACTAATTTCTGCTTTCCTCTCAAGACTCAAGTGCCTTCTCCCTTGGGCCACTACTCATTTTAATGTATTAGGGATAGCATCCTACATGCATTTACATACAGTACTGTACATCATTACATGTACAGTGTGCCTTCGAGAGCAAATAAACCCTCCTATTAAATTCATACAATTTTTTGAAAAAGTGAAACTTTTGTAATTTTGTTTGTTGGAACAAATGGGAAAGTTGTCTGCCACTACAGCCCAGAAAAACTAGCGATTCATCCAATTTGACAAGCCCATACCTACACTACATGTACAGTACATATGTACATGTAGTGATTGTAACTTACAGAGATGCATGACTTTCTAGATTTTGTCCGATTTCATATTTTCATTCAAACTTTCACCCGTACAGTATGCTGACTGATTTTTCTGCTTTCTTCTAGATTATTTTGGTCTCAAGGTTGGATTTCCCTTCAAAATGAACAAATGAATTAATTTGAAGTGCATGACTTTGTGCTTTCATTCAAACTATCACTTGTATGCTTTTCTGATTGGTCTGCTTTCTTCTAGATTAGTTTGCTCTCTATGTTGAATTTTCCTTTGTTCACTGGAGTATGTGTACATCAGCCAATTAATTTCAGTTTCATTAACAAATGAATACATTCCATAAATGGTTTTGTGAAAGTGATATTTCCTGTGGAGTCTCTTCTTTAATCTGTAGTGCGTGACTTGCATGCATGAGTGACACACTTTTGCTTTCATTATGATTTAGGGCCTGATTAGTTGAATGCGATACTTGTTGAAGCATATAATTTGTATGCACTGAACTTTTGAATGTCCATGATGCACATAGTACACGTACACGTACAGTACCAGGAATTGTACGCAAGGTCAATCAAGTACTTTGAAATCAGGATACAGCCCTGGAAAATACTGCTATTCAGGATGTTGGCTTATACACTGAACTTTAACACATGTACACGTACAGTATGTCCAATGTGAAACTCAAAAGTTTTTAAGCATTGAATAAATTAATTTACTTCCTTATCAACTCCATGAAATATTCGGTCTAAATTCACTTCTCTCGAAAGAGCTTTTATCGATGTCTGATGTTTCTCTTTTGCATCCCATTTTCTCAAGATCTCTTGTAGATCTACTCTTTCTTGTTTTTCACTCTCTCCTTCAATGTTTCTTTGGTCCTGTGCTACCTGTGTGTTTTCTCTCCCTCTCTCCCACTATCTCTCTTGTCTTCTCTCACGTCTTTCTCTCCTTTTACCCTTTCTCTTTAATACACAGCTGCTATCTATTCACATGTACCCTCCCCTATACTCTTCCAATATTTTATCCAACTCCTTTTTGTTCTTTCACATCAATGTCAAGCCATTATGTCTTTTGGAATCCAATTTTTCTTTTCCTTTTCATTTGTCATTCCTTCTCTTTCCAAGCCATCTTCCATATCTTCCCAATACTACCTTTAAGCTATGGTCACAAATTAGAGCAGCGACCGACTGATCAGTAGCCTGCTCGGTCGCTGTTGGAATTTAGGCATCGCCCAGCGATTAGGTCGGTGCCCGGGCGGCGACCGCCCAGGTATCGAGCCTTCGAGCGTATTTTGGACGGCGAGTGAAAAGTGAGCAGGCGCCGCCCAAATTTTAATTCCGCGCTTAAACTTCAGCGGCGACCAAGCGATGCCCTAAAAACGAGCGGTGCCTGGGCGGCCGCCGCTCGGTGGCCGGGCAGCCGCCGGGCAGAAGCCGGGCAGAAGCCGGGCAGAATTGGTTAAAAACTCGCCGCTCGGCCACCGAGCAGGCTATTTTTGGGTAATGTGACCATCGTATTGCCTCTGTGCCAAGTCTTCTTGTGCATACATGTAGCTATTACATTGATTTAAATCAGTTTCTTCACAATCTCTCATTTTTATCATCCATTACAGCCTCTGAAAGACGTAGAGAAAACAGGAACGGCTGTAAGATTTAATCTTACAACATCGAGAGAAGAGGAAAATAAGTTCCTGCAGCACACTTCTTCGTAGAATATTCAGAGGAATACACAGACCAATATGGCGTTGACAGACGAGGCAGAAATCAGGGAATACTTCAATGAGGTTAGTTCTTTTGTTGATTCTCTCTTTTACTCTCTCTCTCTCTCTCTCTCTCTCACACACACACTCTCGATCCCTCTCCTTCTCTCTCTCACTCTTTACTCTCTCTTTCTTTCCTTTTTTTTCCCTCTCTTTTTGTTTGTCTTCCTCTCTCTTTTTATTTTTCTCTCTCTTTTGTTTTCGTTTCTTCCACACTTCCATCTGCAGTGAAAGTTGTACTGCATATATGCAGAGGTCTACTTGTAAACTGTACAGTATTTAGTCTATTTGTTGTACATGTACATGTATGTTTATTAGACCCGATTGAGGATAGACTGGGGCTGATGAGGATTACAAGTACATGTACATGTAATTACAATTCTAAATGCCAGTATATATATAACAAAATGCCTGTTTGGGCATCGTTTTGAACGAAAAACTTGATAAAGAATCAGCATCATGTTCGAGTACGACATCATATCGTAGGAAAAATCATATGTGTGGGCAGGGCTTAGCATAACTGGGCAGTCATGATTGGCAGGCTGTCATGTCAACTGATCCCGTCAAAACCAGTGTGTTTACAACATTTCTTTTAAACTATGTTGTTTGTCTGTACATGTACAGGTAGTGTAGGCTCCTTATTAAAGGCCCACTGCACTACTTGTAGCTACTTGCGCCCTCTTACAACAAACAACGCCTAATCGGTGACCATTGGTCCCCCATGATCCTCTTTTTCTTATGTTAACTGAGAGCTGAGTTGATGAGATAACCACCTGTCCAGTGACCTTGCAGGGTGCTCTAATCCCTCCTGTAAACTATGGCAGATAAGCTTTAAAGCTTTAAATAATGGTTCTTTATATTCACATTCTTTTTGAACAACGTTTCTTTAAATATTAAAGTTATCTTCTACTTCTAGTCTGTACGCTCCTTTCACGTGTGATAATTCTTGTATGTTTTTTACAAGTTTCTTATGCATTTCCTGTAGTCTGAAATGCTCTAGGTGCAGATCAGACACCATACAGTTGTTCAAGCACAGAAGGGTATATTGTGTTTGACCTTTAAGAAAAGCGGATGACCTTTATCAAATAACCAGCTGTGAATGACTCATATCACTATATCTGGCTGGCTACCTGTTAGTGTGACTAGTCTGCAAGAACAGACTCTTACAATGTAACCACCACAATCCACAAAGCCTTGAGCAGAGCCTAGATTATGTTTGTAGAAACTTTGTAGGCCTACTGTTTTCATTTTCACTTCTGCCAGTGCTGGAACTTGGAAGCAAATTAAATCTGGATTACTTCCTGACCATTAAATCCCCACCCAAAATCCTGAACATGAAAATGATGGAAAGGGGAAAAACAAAAAATAACACAAGTGAAATAGAAAGAGAAAATGATAAGATAAAATATGAATAACATACTTACAACGAAAGATAAGAGAGATGCTGATAGAGGAATAGAAGCAGAAAAGAATAAAAAGAAAGGGGAGAGAAAATGATGGAAGAATAAAACAGAGCGAGACATTACAGTGTACATTGTAAGGAAAGATGAAGGAGAAAACGATAGAAGGATAACATTTCAATACCAACCAGCTGCTTGTCAGATCATACCACTTGTTTACATGTATAATTTATAGCATGAATAAATAAATGGTCTCTAGTACATTGTATGCTAGTATTTTTTAATTAATGTAGTTTACACGTACATCTAGGAAGTCAGAAAGAAGAAAACAAATCAAAAGAATATACAGATCTGATTACAATGTAATGTATACATGTATGTACAATGAACCTAGTGTACAGTACATGCATGTAGAAAAGAAAATCAATATCCCATTCATTAAATCTTCATCAACTGATTTGCCTTGATACATGTAGTTAATGAGGCAAGGTTGAAGCATATTCCAGACTGTTAATTCTTTTTCATTCAGGCTCTAGATCTAGACAACATGAAACAAGTCTGGACTCCACTCGATTTTATAGCTAGACGCCTAGACGATTGATTTGCCAGATTGTCTGATGATGCAATGAAACTGGGTCTTTCTGTCAAAAAGAAAGAAATGTGTTTTGCCAGAGCTGTTTCTGTAGTTCTCATTTACCTTTCGCTCTTGGTTTCTTTGTGAAGGCGTGTCATCTGGTCTTATTTTTAGAATAAAACCTTTCCCAGAGCTTTAAAGTCTTTCTTAAAGCCCCACTGTCCTACTTGTACATGTACATGTAGCTACTTGCTCCTAGAAAACTTCCCCAATCGGTGCCTGAACATTGGTCCCCCATGATCCTCCTTTTCTTATGTTAGTTGAGAGCTGAGTTAATGAGAAAGCCACCTGTCAGTGACCTCGCTGTGTGGTCTAATTCCTTCTGGCCCAGTAGTATTGACAGTCTTTAAATCCTTGTATTGAAGGGGCAGTCTATGACATTCAACTGGCTATACATGTATAGGCACATGTACATGTACCAATGTACATGTAGGAAAGAAAAAGAGATAATCAGGGCCCTATCTTACAAAGAGTTGATGTTAAAGATAAACTTGAGTTCTGGTAAAAAAAAAAAAAGAATTCTCACAGAATCTAACGAAACTTACACTGAATGTTCAAGATTACAAATAAATGTTATGTGCCAAACAATTTTGGAAGAAAATGTATACTGGCTGAGTAATGAGCATAGAAAGATAAGGAAATCACGGTAGTACTATCCCCGACACCATGTGTGTTGTCCCATATACATCTTTCTGTGTAAGTGCTTGTTACTTTACCTAGACTCTGCCAAATTTATGATGATTTTGATGACTCCAGAACCTTGCAGTGCACACCAATACTTACATGTACATGCTACATGATCTACTGTTTCTGATCCTTTCCACACCTTTTCTTTCACAATGTAATCGCATTACCAATACTAAAGTTTATCTTTAATCGCAAATTCTTTGGAGTTGATATCAATTGCAACTACACGTACACGTACAGTATGCACAATGTACAGAGATTGCAAACTTACGATTGATAAGAGGACCTGCGATTGAAATTTTATATTTGTGATCGAATTACAAATTGACAAGTTCTCTTTATTCTTCGGGAGCAGTTCTCTGTCTCTGTAGTATGACTATAAATTTTAGGTAGCTATTAGACTTTTTAACATATTTAGGGTTTGGGAGGAGGGGGGGGGGGGGGGGAGGGGTGGCACACGTATGGACAGTCTCTGAAAGGCAATACCCCCAGCCCCCCCCCCCCCCCCCCACTCATACATGTACACACACCAAAAAGAGAAACTATCAAACTGACAAAGAGTATGGCAGATCACATTTCTACATTGTAGTGCTATGCAAATTTGGTAGGATTGGAGGGGGGGGGGGGGGTGGTACGAGTTGATCATGATCCCTTCTCTCCATAGGAACTCATCGGCCACCAGACAGAAACAACTCCATGTACACTGTATACACTGTACACAGCTACAGTATGATAATGATATCTCAGTTGATGGCACAGTATCTTTGTGATGCATAGACTGACCTGTATACATCATTACATGTAAGGCAAATGTCTTGAAGAGTGAGTCATGGCTATGACTCTATGAGTAAAACCTCAAGGGATGACACTGAACAGACAATGACATTAAACTAATCTAACCGCCCACACCACGCCGTCTTCTATTATAATGAAATAGTAGAATCGGGCTCCGAGTGAAATCAGGTTTTTTGTATTGGTCCGCTAGCTATGACTTTCACTCGGGGGAGGGGTTAGTTCAAATAAACCACCGATTTAAAATAAAGTCAAAGAATAAAAGCGCGGGGACACGATATAGTATTTAAGGTGTCATATATGTTTATTTATCAATCACCGACCTGTATCAACTACTCTTCTAACAGTATTTATTATCAAACAATGTCATGGAAATAGTATCAATAATCCAGAAGATCTCTGTCTTCTCTTCAACATACATTCATATCAAAATACACCTTAAGCTAAAATACACTTTAAAAGCCTTAACTTGTTAATCTAAATAAATGGGACGTTAAGGGTTGGGAAGAAGGAGGTTAGTTAGAAATTGTTAGTACTGTGGCCACTTACATACAGCGCGGTAGACTATTCGCGATTCGAGTGGATGTACCGATTCGGCCGTTGCAGACGAGATGAAGAGATGGACACCGATGCTACGGGTATGGGAACAGGAAAGATGACGACGTCGAAGACGGGAACGGAATCGGGAACACAGTTGTGGGATCAGGTCGACAGGATCAAATTCAGGAACTCAGGATCAAAATCAGGAACACAGCATCAAATTGGCATAGGGTTAATGGTACCTATTTACCGACGTATCTGCAATCAATGTTCCTCCTATCAATGTTCCTCCTTATGAATCAGTTCCTGACACTTTCAGATTAAGTTCCCTTGAAGTACGTTGTATAATTTAGTTGAATATTCCCGACTTGGTGATTGAAGTGACTTGGCTTTCTTGAACGATTCTGGAACAACGCTGTACTTCGATAACTTTGTGAGTCCAGAACTTGTTGATTTTAACATGCAGCAATTAGTTGTTAGTTCAGGGACAGCTTGAGGGAGATGGGAGGACAGGGGTACAGGTAGAGGAGACCAAGTCGGGGTGGAGCCAAGTGATCAAAATATCCATGCAAACTACTTTTATACCTCATTAAACATTCATACTTGACTTTTCCTCCGATCATCTTATTGGTCATTACTTTAAAAAGGGGGAAGGGGTCTAATCTAAAACTCTACTCTTATTGGTTCAAGGTCACCACTCATGGCCAAAGACACAGTCCTATGAGGTGTTCTTCAAAGAGCATATTTCTAAGAATAGTCACAAAGCATGAATGACCACAAAGAGCCCGTCTGATATCTAAATCCCCTTTCATAGAGCTTAATCTCTATTATTACAGATTTATGAATGGCATTAAAGTCTAGTATTGTATCGAACAGGATGGATTAATACTGTGAATGGCAATAGGGTCATAAAGGCTATATCCCAGTGTGGGAACAGGATAGCTTCAATAGATAGCTTCAACTAGACATGC